CAGCCTGTTTAATGAGACAGCTAGTTCGTTCAGGGCAGCCTATACTGTCGCTAAAGAAAGGTTGCCTTATACAAAATTGAAACCCATTATGCAACTTAATGAGATGAATGGTGCGACAGTCGGCCCTGCTCACAGATCCGATCATTCATGTGCCCAGATTGTGGAGCACATTGCACAAGAGATGAAAAAGAAATGTATTTCTAATATCAAATCACTTGATTCCCGTATTAGTCTAACGCAGTGCTTCTCAAAGTGTGGTCCGCGGACCACTGGTGGTCCGTGAGCGCCCCCTAGTGGTCCGTGCGTATATTGGTAACATTTCACATTTGAAATAAATAAATACATTTAAATTGTTCGCACTCTCGCGGGAATATCTCCGCAATGGAGCGAGCTTAAGTTTCACTTTCGATTGCATGATATAGCCCAGATAAATACCTTCATCACACATGTTGCCACTTGTTTGTACCATTTTCAGGCGATTTGTAAAAAACGATGTGTTTTTGGATATTTGTGGAGTTAGGTGGTCCTCGAGTGTTTTTTTATTGGTTAAGTGGTCCTTGGTATGAAAAAGTTTGAGAAACACTGGTCTAACGCTAGACGAAAGCACAATTCATGGACGCGCATACATGATTATTTATGTCAGGTGCGATGTCACTGGGAATGGAGATATGGACAATGTGTATTTTGACATTGTTGAACTGGACCAGGGCACTGATGCAGAGTCGCTGTGTAGCGCACTGAAAAACAGCCTCCAGGCGGGGGGAATGGATGAAGAGTTTCTTCGTAAAAACCTAATTAGCATAGCCACAGACGGTGCTGCCGTGCTAACCGGGAGACAGAATGGACTCATAGCCAGGCTGAAAAAGGATTTCCCTCGTCTTCAGGCAGTTCATTGTCTAGCTCAGGGGTGCCCAACCAGTCGATCGCGATCGACCGGTCGATCGCGGGGAGATTCCCAGTCGATCGCGAGATGTGTCTAAAAATAGAACAACAACATTCTGTTTTATCGTTAATGTCCTGTAACATAATCTTCCTGTGCCAGAATAATGCACTTGAACGCATCAAAGCTTTGTGATTGGCCGGCGTGACCCCATGTGTCGGGGCGTGGCTGGTGGGCAGTGGGCACTATTTCGCTGAGGTTGTCCGTGTCAACAGGAGTGACAGTCCGCACACACACAAGACCGCAATTACGGCAGAAGCAAAAAAGCCCAAAATATATAATTTTCACTCCGAGTGGGAGGATGATTATTTTTGTATCTATTCTAATTCAAAGTCCATCTGTCTCATCTGCAATGCTAGCGTGGCTTTATCGAAGAAGGGTAATTTAGGAGCGGCATTTCAAAACTGCACAAACGCTAGGAGACGGAATTCCCTCCTAATTCTGCCCTACGCTCCAAAAGGTGAGGGGCCTGAAAGGACAGCTAAATGCACAGCAGTCCATTTTCACCAGGCCCAACAACAAGAGCAAGGCTTCTACCAGAGCATCTTATCGTGTCAGTCACGTTCTTGCGAAACACATGAAGTCTTTCAAAGACGGCGAAGTTGTGTAAGAAGCATTCCTGGAGGCTGCCGATGCGCTTTTTGGGGGACAGTAAAAATAACAGTAGCATTTCAACAGGTTTTTGATATAATAAAAACTCAAGTTAGATACCGTTATTAATCAGCTGTAAGTTTTAGTTTGTTTGAACTTATTCATTATAATTATTGTACAAAATAGTATAAGAATGCAAACATTCAGATCTGTTCTGTTTAAATTGATTATAGTCTATCATCAATTCAGGTTAAGAAACTAGTGTTGCTTGCATCCTATTTTAAAGGCATTTCTTTTTATAATCTACTAAAATGCAACAAAAAAGGGTTTGATTCTATTAATTTGGTCTTTTTTATTGCACTGTTGCAGCAGATTCCTGTGTAGCTTCAGATCTGAGTTGTCTTATTAGTAAGCCTAATTTATACTTTTGTAGCAACACTATTTTTATATAATGGCAAAGAAAGGGTTCAGAGTCTTTTCTTTTTTCCTGTGTCATATGTGGCAGCACTGTTCAATGTTTCTTGAAAACATTACCCACTGTAGTGACGTGTGAATAAACTCCAACTCTGTATCAACAACACTGTTGTGTAACTTCAGTAAAATGTGTGTAGATTAGAAAGAGGTAAGATAAAGGATCTGCAGTATTTTATGAAGTATTAATCGTACAAAGGTCAGTTTTATACAAGTAGAAGTGTGTATTTACCTGGTAGTAGGCTGTCAGTAATGGCTACGCCTCTCTATTTGGACTGGTAGATCTCGGCAGACTGGCAACTTTGAAAGTACCTCTCGGTTCAAAAAAGGTTGGGCACCCCTGGTCTAGCTCATCGTTTGGAATTAGCGGTGAATGATTCATTGAAGGCTAATCTTTACAATTAGATGGGTTTCCAGCTGTTACAACACTGTCAAAGCTGTGCTGAAGGACTTCCCAGTGTTAGCACATCACTTTAAATCTGCTAGTGAAGATGGCTCACGTTCCGGTGCAGAGAAAGCCAAGTACACTGGTTTACTAAAGCATCTGACATCCACTGGATTCCTCACTGATTTAGCGACAATGAAAGACGTGTTACGTGAATTACAAAGTCTCTCCCTGAAACTACAGAAACGCGACACGTCCCTGGTTGATGCAAGCCGCTACATACATCAGACGATCGAGGTGCTCTCTGCCATGAAGGACAACGATGGGAAAACTGAACTAAAAGTCAAAGCGGGCATAACAAGCGGCCAGTTCAAAGGGGTTGATATTAGAGAAACTCAACCTAAAGTAAAGAAGTCCCAATTTTACCAGTCAATCCTTGATAATCTCACCAGGCGTCTCCCCGATAGTGAGCTGGTAACTATGTTGAAGCCTCTGGATCAGCACTTCTGGCCAAAAGAGAGGACAGAGCTTGTTCTGTTTGGAGAAAGGGAGGTGGGGAAGTTTGCTAAACTTCTCGGAGAGTCCGCAACTGAAGCTGTCAGTGAGTTCAGAGACTGGAAACTTCAACAACAAGGCAAGGAACATCAGGGTAAAACCTTGAAAAGAATGATAGTGGCGAGCAACACTGTTCTTCCGACATCTGCAGAGTGCGAGAGGGGCTTTTCGGCATGCAATGACACCGACTGCAAGACCAGGAACCGGCTGCGAGCCAGAAGCCTCAACGCATTGTTGTTTGTGGACTTAAATGGGCCTCCTATCAACACATTTGACCCTTTCCCATTCATCCAATCGTGGATAAATAAAGGACATCGGACTTCCACATCATGGGTTCCAGGACCGCGACCACAGCCTGCTGAAAACAGACCACTTTGGGCTATTTTATCTGCGTAAAGGTGCGTGTGTGTGTGTGCGTGTGTGTATGTTTGTTGGACCACGTAAAGTGAAGTCAGTCTCTCTCTCTCGTTTTATCTGTGAGAGCTAATTTTTGTATTTTCTTTAATTTGTATAGCTCTTACGTTGTTATTGATTGTGTACGAGTTCATGTGTTTGAGCATGCGCAGTCTGTCCTGAAGTTGTGGGGAGAGAGTAAAACCTAATAAACGGAGGCGCTGTTTGTGACGCTCCACAAGTACAGAGTTCCTGAGTTTTTGTGATTTTGTAATTATCTTTGAAGCCCTAACACATCAGACACTAATTGTATACTCTCAAGGGTGTGCAATATATACCATCAGTTGGAGTCTGCACCTCCAAGGTGCGCAATACATTATTGCGCAATCTATGCCTGTGTGCGTGCGCGCGTGCAGGCGCAGGCATGCGTTATTTTTAAAGACCCCCATAGAGCTCAGTTTATAACTCGAACCCTGGGTAAGATATTGAGTAAGAAAATGTTTTTATGAACCCCACAGCTTCCGGTCTTCCAAGACCCGACCGGACAAAAAGACGTGGTGCACGAAACACACTACCAATAGAAATACATTGCTTTACATTGGTGTGACACGAAAAAAATGCGAAAATCGTGTTGGTGAATACGAATCAATAGATTAAATTAATTTTGTGACTAACACGAAACGCCGTGAGACTGGGGGCTATCAGCATCAATTGTGTGTAGAACTGCTTTCTAACCCTGTTGAGGTAAATTGAGTTAATGTGCTGTTAGCAAGGGATTGGCTGACTTTAGTTCCCTGTTCAACCCTGTCTCTCTCAAACAAGAAAGGTAATAAGCGTAGTTCCCAAGATATCCAACTTTTAATTTAATAGAATTATAAGGCCTGAAGGGAACTTTGAGAAACTTTAGCTTAGCCAAGAACAAATAAATAAGAGCTGTAGCTCAGAGCAGTCTCAGCTCTTTAAAGGAACAATTCAGTAAGGAAATGCTGATGTAATGCTGTTACACAGCTCCTGCTGACTTTTATAATATACCAGCTTCCAGCATTGTTAGCAGGTGTCATTTCTCTCTTCAGTCTTTCAGCCGTCACCTACCTCCTGCGCCATCATCCTTGAGTTCTCAGCTGACAGCATGTTAAACCTCTCCAGTTTCCCATGTTCTTTTCTCATCATCGTTGCCAAGAGCGTTGTTTGAATACTTCTCTTAGCCAGAACCAATGACAGCAGCCTCCTCTGACCTTTCTCATCCGTGAGTGCTTCCCAGGGCCGCTGCTGACTGGCGTTTTGCACTCTGTGAATAACAGTCATCACCGACTGCAGTGCGCCAATATCCCAGGAGGTTGTCACTTTCTGCGACAACATGTCTGGCACAGACAACCACGCTACATCTAAAGTCACTTTAAGCACCCGTCTCTGCCATTCTTACATTTAGTCAACAGCAGCTGAACGTCTCATCCCTGTCTGCGTACATTATGCTCCTGCTTTATTTCAAATGTGACTCACCGTCTGGAGGAGTGAGCCGCTGACGTGAACAGGGATGCGAAGCCAAGAAAGTGGAGTCGACTTCAGGACGTCAATTATCAGTTTAGAATTGCAATAATGGGAATGTTTTTCTCTCTGCTCTGGTGAAAAGAACATTTTGTTTTTCTAAAGACAGACACTGCTTACCTTGAAATATGGCAGCGTTTTGGATGATGATACGCTTGAGTTGAGCGCTGACAACCTGCAGACCGGACTCCATGTTGCTGCGTGCGGCTACCTGATACCGCTCCTCCATTTTCTTGGAACAGCATGTCGGGCCTTTGGTTTGGCAGACCTGCAGATCAGCACCTGGCAGGAAATCAGAAGGACAGGAGTGTGGATGAGCAGAGGACAGGAGCTGTGAAAAAGCCACTTTTATTTAATTCTCATGAACCAGAAGCCCTTTCTTTTTACACAAAATGATTCAGCTGCATCCCTCTGCATAATAAACACAGGAAACACTATACAGCAGATTCTGCAGCCTTAATGAGCGTGTGATTTCTCTCATTATGAGGAGGCTGTGTTATGAAGCGAGTCTGAAGCCCAAAATAAATTGCTCCAAAAAAAGAAAAAAAATAGTCATTTCGATGCACATTCACGCAACACACCCTGGCTGCGTTGTACTCCTCAGAGATCAATTTGGTCAACAAAAAAAGTTTTCCCACCACTCCAGGCTACACTTTTCACACCATGAGGATCCAAAAATAAGTATTTGTTAGGCACAAAGATGTGAGCCGGGAGCAGTTCAGCGTGCAGACAAACAAATGCAGGTCTCAGCGTGCTTTCACTACACCATATGACATGAGAAAAACAGCCAGGAGTCAAATTGAGGGTGATGAAACAACATTTCTACGCCTGGCCACTGACTTTACAGGTTGTTTACACAGAGGAGAAATAATTGGATTCCCAGAGCTTCCCTTTGAAAGGTGCAGTTGTAAGCCAGCGGAGGCAAAACTAAGGTGACAAGGAAAGGTAGGTCTGACGTAGCTGTACATAACCAGATCAAAGAACAAACGCCCTGAAGAAATGAATTCAACTCGAAAAAATCCCAGTGAGGAGGGACACAAAGACTTAGAGCGGTTAGAAATGAGTCAACGACGTGCCACAGCTGCTGCAACATCCAGGGTGAACGAACTGCAGTTTTTTGCGTGACAATGCACTGGAGGATGTCTTTTATAGAGAACCATTCACAATCCTATACCATTAAAATGTCACAGCAACGCTTTTAAGAACAAAACAACTTCTAAAGTTTGAAAAAAGTCAAAATAAACAAAGATAAATCTATGTTGCAGTTCTCACGATTATGTGTCTAACACCACTATTGGAAAAGAAAGGTACATTGGAATACGCTCTTTCTGTAGATTTCCAACCAATTCCCAGATCACTGCTTTAAAACGATGCACGCAGACGTAAATAGGGCACAAGCGTGTGATGTTTGAATACAAAGAGGAGCTCCTTCTCCTTCCCTTTTCTTTCTCTCTCTGTCCCATGTGGTTGTTAAAAGCTTGGTGGAGGATGCAGAAGCGGTGTTGTGTTCAGGATCTTCTGCCTGAGAGGCGTCAGTGACAAGGGCCTGATTGATGGCGTGGTAAACAAATGTCAGGGGAGTCTGCCAGCGGTCGGGATGTGGAGGATGTAGAGAGGGGAGATTAATTTGGAGGGAGGGATCGAGTATGTATATTGCGTGTCAAAAGACAGACGAAAGGCTTTTGTCAAGACCGAGGCTTTATCTTAAATATGAAAAGTGAATCTCTCAATTGGTTTGAGGAGATCTTCAAACAAAGGGATCCTATGAAACAAAGCTGCGAGGGTAACAATGGAAACAGCAGGAAGTCAAACTAGCAGGAGATGCAACAGAGCGACAGTGTCGATAATGAGTAAGTACCGGGGAGTCGAGCGGGGAACAGCTTCGGTTTACTCCCAGCTCGCTCCTGACTCACATCAGGGTTTAAAGGTACACCGTCTAATGAGTGAAACAGGCAATAAAACTGTCACATGCCACCTTTTGTATACATACTGACAGGCTTAATATCTTAAATCAATGCCGACAAAGGAGTCCTGACAGATAAGATCAAGCTAATTTCAGGCTGCAGGGGCAAAATTATTAAGCTGTCAATAGCACCATAGGCTAGGTAAGCGCAGAAAGGCGAGGATTTGGCAATTATCTGCGGCCTAGCAGACAGTTTCATCGGAGCGTTAGTCGCTTTGCAGATGATAAATGTGTTTCATTACAGAAGTTCCACTGCGATGAGGAAATAAGTGAAGGATTTGACAGGAAAATGATTCCCTGTAGAGTTTCACAAATAACAAAGTGATACCGTCTAAATAAAGCCTTCTTTCTGACAGATCACTTGGGAATAAGCTTTTTGCTATTCCTCTTTGCTTTAGGCTAACTCCTCCTCCTCCTCCTCCTCCTCCTCCTCCTCCTCCTCCTCCTCTTCGTGTTTTCTTAAGTCGTCGTCAACCCTGAACAGTTTTGTTCTGAGCTTGTTTCACTTCACATACCTTGAGTTTAATAGCCACCGGGCACCTCGAGCCCCTCTCTATCAGTCTCTCATTGGTTAATTAGTCAATTCTTATGCCCTGATTGCCACTTCTCTGGCACAAAATGAAGAGAGACAAGGTGCAGGGCTCGGAGCAATTTAGATGTAAATTTGCCCTCTAAGTCCAAGGTGACGCCCTTAACTTATTACCTACTTTCAATCAATACTTTGAAATGGCGAGCTAGATGATTCTACATGCAGAACAGCTGCCAGTTTCAGTGTCAAGGTCTTTGAATGGCTTTTTAAAAAAAACGCATTGATCGCCCCTCGGTTTGTCATCTGACGATCCTTTGCTGCATGAAATAATATTTTCTGTGGAAATGCCAAGAGTGAAAACTCCAGCAGGGGCTCAAACAGTCCTGTGTACACACTGAGAGGAGTCCCTTCCTTTCACATCTTTAACAAGCTCGGGGACTACAAGCCATATGATAAAGAAGGGGGTGGGGGGGCAGCCACAAATACACTCTCTTAGTTCCCCAGCACCAATTAGAAAGCTATCACTATGCAAGCTTAATGGTGGAGAGAGACCATGGGGGAAAAACAAGTTGTTTTAAGATATAGAATATGATAAAAGCTGTTCATTATGAGCATAAATTATAAATCAAGTAGCCTACCAGTGTGAAGCATGTGGGACTCATGGCTTCCTCTCCAGGGCAAAACAAGCCAGTGTCACTTTGTAAAGACAATAAAATGAAGACAGCGCAATTTACAACCAACCTAAGGAATAATATCATTAGCTACTGGGGGATTATGTTTTAAGTATTTTTAGGGGCTTCGCTGATTGCTCTACTTTGAGATCGTTTGATGAAGCAATCATTTGAAAGCGGGAGAGTGAATGTGCAAGAGCCCGATCTCTACATAACACAATGAGACTGCAAACACAAGGGATCGCCGTTAAAAAGAGACATGTCACAATATGAAGACGTGAGTAAACAAGACACACATCCAGGCTTATTTGGACTAAAATACTTCTCGATTCAGGTCAAACTGATCCACCTATTCGTCATGTCCGGTGTCTTTTAAACTGCTTGAGTTTGTTCTTGGTTTACCTGACCCTGCCTGTCATTGACACTGGGGGAACTGGGGATATATTCCCACCACTTTAAGAAATGGCTATTCTTTTTTCAAAGTATAATTTGAACAAACAACTTTGATTCAAGAAATACTAGTAACTAACAAATGAAAACGCTTTCAGACAGGTGTATTTGCACAAAAGTAAAACATTAAAGGTGCCCTATTACGCTTTTTGGGGTCTTCCTTTTCCTGTAGTGCTTAAATAGGTTTCTGTGCATTGATTGATTGATTGATTGAAAAGTTTATTAACAGCTTGTATATTGGGTACAGTACAGTACAGCTCAAAACATACAATTGTTAAGGGGATGCAGACCAGAGAAAGACTTTCGTCTTGTTTACATCAGGGTCCCCCATTTCCAATTCATCATATCATTTAAGACATTTAAGACATATTTGACATACAGATGGCTTATTTACAATTTACATACAGGTGGTTTTTTACATACAGATTGCTTATTTACAATTTTCATTTTAGATTTCGTTCTAATACATCCTAACCGGACATTTAAGACATACCAAGTCTACAGATATACAGTTAGTAACAGAGTCTAAAATGCGAGTATATACATAGATGGGGGGGGGGGGGGAAGCTGTCCATTGAACGACAGGTTGAGATTTGTACCATTACCGGGGCCAGTTTTGCAATGCTCTCCCCCGAAGGTGCTCTTTAAGAGAGGTTTTGAAGGTAAGTATAGTTTTACTTTCCTTTACAGTTGTGGGAAGAGCGTTCCACCTTGATGTGGCATAATTGCGAAACGTGTATTCCCCCTTTTTTGTGCCAAATCTGGGTTTCACATGATTTGTGGAGCTCCCTCTGGTGTTATGATCATGGTATTCCTTGACCTTTGGGAAGAATTTTGACATGTACATGGGTACCATAGAGGTGTAGTGGATCTTGTAGACCAGGCCCATTGCAAGTAGCTGTACTCTGTCGTCTACTCTAAGCCATCCTAGGTTGTCAAAGTGGGCAGAGGTGAGGTGGGTTCTAGATGAAAGGTCAAGCAGTAGTCTGACCAGTTTATTTTGCGATGTTTGAAGTTTTATTTTTAGCGCCTTGGAGGTGCTATGGTACCATGACGTGCAAGCATAGTCATAGTACCCTTGAATGAGTGCTCCTGCCAGAGTTTTCAGGGTGTTTTTGTTTACCAGAGAGGAGATCCGGTATAGGAATCTAGTTCTTTGATTGACTTTTTTTATTACATTGGATGCCATTTTGTCACAGGAGAGGTTTGCCTCAAGAATAGATCCTAGGTATGTAATTTCCTTCTTACTTGTGACAATAATGTCGCCCACTGCAACTGAGAAGTCGTCGGATTTGCTGAGATTATGTTTCGAACCGAAGAGAATGGACTCTGTTTTACCCAGGTGTAATGATAATTTATTATCGGCGAGCCAGGTGCAGATTCTGCCGAGCTCGGAGCTGAGGGTTTTTTCAACCTGCAACCCGTTCCTGTCAGAGACCAGCAGGGCTGAGTCGTCCGCGAACAGGAACAAGTTGCAGTCACATGCTGATGACATGTCATTTACATACATTAGGAACAGTAACGGACCTAATATGCTTCCTTGTGGAACACCACAGCTCACTGGGAGGGGGGGGGACAGAGTACCATTTACCTCCACCATCTGTTCTCTCCCCTCCAGGTAGGATTGCATCCAGCTTACCGATAGTTTATCAAAACCAATTGCTTTTAG